AAGAACCTTAAGGTTCAGTATTGTGCCCAGGGGTAGTTTGGCATGGAGACTGAAGCAACCAGCGATCAGGGTCAGTACATGACAGCCACCCACCAAAAAAAGGGGTTGGTCTAAAAATACTATGCAAGAACAAGGTAACATGGTGGGAAAGCTGGTTTTTAAGTAACCGTTTAAAAAGAAAATAAACCTAGATGCAACATCTCAGGTAGAAAACATTCTTCAATTTCTGAAGAGTTAAGTTACTTTATGTATTGTTAATGTGTTAAAATAGTTATGGTACATTTTTACTTAAATTTTCCAGCACCTGGGATATTTTAGTGCTTACATTTGACCTGCACTTTATTGCACCTGCATCCTGACAAATTTACTCATCGAGTTAGGTAGTCTGTCATCAGTGAACTTATTGGAAAAGACAGGAAATGCCCTTCTTTTTGTTTGCACTGATCCTGCTGCCTGCACTCACTGATAAGACATGTTTCAGTTTTTCTTTTTCTATATTATCAAAAATATAATTACATCAAATTTACCTGAATATCATGAAAAAACTTTACAGCCATAACTAAGTAACATTAGTTAATAAATAAAATAGTTTCTGAAGCTAATGAGCAAGGCTCATTCCCCATGACACATTAGAAAAACTCGAGTATAACGATTTACTTTATAATGCATACCTGCACACCTTATCTAAATTGCAGAGTTGGGGGTGTAGCAGTAGTGCTATTGTATGGTGACAGCTGTCTTTAATATTGACGTTGGCCTCTGACACAAAGAGAATTTTTTAAAAGCACATCAGTCCAACACAGTCATTAACCATGACCTCGCAGATAAATACATCATTTAGTTTACTGGGTTCATTAGAGGTCACATTTATAGCAGAGCTGTTGCACAGACCGGTGTACCTAATAAAGTGACAGATTTTCACAATATCAGCTGATTCATCGAATCTGCTGCCAGCATCCACAGACCCACAGACACAGAGCCTAAACCGGCTTTGTTTAATATATCACATCCATTCTGGATCAATTACTGGTGTAATTTCATATAAAAAAGATTTTTTATATCCTACGGCGGTTTTTCCGGTGGACGAGACTGTCCCGGCGTGTTTGAGTCTTTGTGGTCCTGCAGCAGGAAACAAACACACACCCTGAGCTGCAGTGTGATGAAGTACTAATGATGCTCCTTCGCGCTGTCTCTCTCATCATCGATAACAAACTGCTCGTGGCTTCAACTGATCACTGAACAGTAATCGCTATTCTTTCTCCCTCGCTTAAGTAAATCATCCCGGCATCTTTACCTGTCCTGAGCAGGACGCTTGCCCTCTTCCTCCCGGTAACGGACAGCTTTTTTTCTGATCACGTCATCTCTCACTACGACACACCGTGTCGCCGTGGCGAACCGCTGACGTCAGGACGCAAGGTGCTTTCAGATGTAATTTGTTTTTTTAAATAAAGATGAAAACAGTGTTACGCTGAAGAGTACGGACCCCCAACAGTGCCAAAATAAAATAACTAAATACATCATTAACCCTTTATTTTCCAAGATTCATATAATATCACCCATTTTAACCATTTTAATTTTCTATATAGCCCGAAACGGTAAATAAAAGGTTAAGAAATTGGTTAAACGTGTTGTTAATTAATTAAAATTGAAAAT